CTGGCGTGAACTTCTACACATGACCCCATCCCCCAATATAGGTAAGTATTTATTTAGCACTCCACTTCACGTTTATGTATGTATGTAAGTATTAATCACTGTCCTCGTATGTATATATGTAAGTATTATAATTTTGCCACCACTTTTTCTTTTTATTCTCGTTTTCCTGTATTTAGGTATCACTATCACTGCACAACTTGGTCACTTCCAGTTTATGTCTCTTTGGTTTTTGTCTAAGGTTTATAATCTGTTTTTTTTTTTTTTTTTTGGCTTTGTGAAGACCGACAACCGCGATTGACAGGCAATGAAAAACGATAATGGTTAATTAAAACGAAAGTCAAATAAAATATTCTTAGCTCACGCACTAAGTCCCTGCTCGAGGGCCATGAAAAATTCTCAAGCGTTTTTGAGAAGCGAAAATACAACTTAGGGAATGCGCGAATAAAATAAAAAGTCTAATTGCCTGTCACGAAAATTACGATAAAAAGGGGGTAAGTATAATCATTCTCAACTTTCGTTARRTATTGTAAGAGATTATGGTAAGTATTAAGGTAAGTAATAGACTGGTATTATGAGTGCATTATTAAGGTAAAAAAACCAGATTTGCTGCATAAGAAGGGGTCAGTTCGGGTACAACCGAACATTTTATACTCTTGCAGCTTGCAAGAATCATAGCCAGAAAATATAGAATAAAGTCAGCCGGATGTTCGAAAATCCGACATTTTCGATCAACGGTCAACTATTGGGCTTGAATGGTTTTTAGGCATATTCGGTAGGCAAGTAAATGACAAATACGAAATTTTATTTGCTACAGGAAAGATCTGATGGCAAAATCTCTATCATTAATACTTCTCGAGGGTTTCGGTCTTTTATGTAAGGTTGTATGGAGTTTTCATAGATATTTTATAACATACCAAATGATATGACAATTCGCATTCCATTGCTCTAAAAAGATTCTCGAWAACAACAATTTAATAAAAACTTTCAAAATAATTTGAGGTATCCGCAAAGAAATACTAATACGAACCAAAAATATCCCAATAGTTCATAACCAGTAGACCTGGATCAATCAATTGATATAATAAATAACCCCAGAGCTTTACAAACAAACCAAGCACATGCCAGAAGTAACAGATACAATTGGCAAACTAATTGTCAACAACCAAATATACCAAACAGGCAAAATGAAAGTGAACAAGTAACCCTGTATCAAAAATTTAAAGAGTTAATGACAATGGTGAAAGCCATTTCTTTGGGTAAATTCTGATTTATCCAATATTATATAAACAGATACGACAACCGGGAAAATCATTAGAATGTCAATGGATACAAGGCAACCGGTTCTTATATACTAGCAGGAATTTATAATTATATAATTTCGACTATCATAAAAAGACGTTTTTATTAAATTGATAGCCTTCTGGTTGAGGCTGTGTGCTTACTATTTCACTTTCATTTTTCCTCTTTGGTATATTTGTTTGTTGATAATTAGTTTACCATTTACATCTGTTACCCTGGCCTGTGCTTGTTTGCTTGTAAAGGCCTGGAGTTATTATTATTTGAATCGATTGATCTACGTACACAGAACACTTCTTCAGCCTGATTTTCCCCAATCAATGACGATGACGTTCCATTGCCCGACCATGAAAGAATTCGAATAGCAATCACCCGCCTGAAGAACAGCAAAGCAGAACTAAATAAGGAAGGTATTATCTTCTATAAGAGTGTACAACTGCTGACGATATCGTTGGGATCAACACCCGTGCCGTTAGTTCTGTTTTATCCAGCATGGATAAGGAAGCGAAGCAAATGGGCCTGGTAGGGAACGAGGGCAAAACGAAATATCTCCTCTCATCAAACAAACAGTCGTCGCACTCGCGACTAGGCACCCACATCACTGTAGACAGTCATAACTTCGAAATCGTAGATAATTTCGTATAACTTGGAACTAGCATCAACAACAACGTCAGTCTCGAAATCCAACGCAAAATATCTCTTGGTAACAGGTGCTACTTCGGACTGAGTAGGCAATTGAGAAACTATATAAGAGGCATGGACCATGACAACATCTTCTGAGTCGCCGATACGAATTTTTGAGAGGTTCTACGCCTCTTCATATGCAACGAACACAACACACGCCACATCYATCAGTAGCTAATATTAAATACGTATACAGGGTTTACCCGGAAAGTAAAGAGATCTACGACTTCGACAAATATCGACAATGCGACTCGTGTGCGGAAAGTTTTGAACTCAGACAGTCGACTAAGTATTCGTTTAATTGGCCAGATGTTATATTTATCAAAATCTGTGGTTCACGACATTGTGACGGAGCACTTGAACATGCCCAAGGTGTCCGCGAAAATAGTCTGAAAAGTGCTCACTGACGAACAGAAATCGTGGCGAGTAGAAGTGGGCCAAATAAATTTGAAAATGTGTGAAAGTAACTCCCAATTTTTGAAAAACGACGACTGCGACGCAGAAAGATTCTACTTAGAAAGTTTTTAATTGCAATGAAATAATTTTTTTTTAATCGACTCAATACTATTACTTTGCGATCTTCTACATCTAGCATACATACATACACTGAAACTCAACTGAATTGGTTCATGATCTCAGAGGTAGGAATTTATCTATAATTCCTAAACCAGTTTTCTGATTTACATACTTTTTTTTCTTTAATTCTTAAATCATATTAAAACAAAATTCTGAAGAAGGTTTTTCAAAGACATACTATATTATTTATTCCTTATTTATTTTTTCTTTTGAAAGTTTAACACAATCAATGATTTTTTTTTTTCTTTCATCTGCAATTGCTCAACCTAAAAATAGAATTATATAAGTAACTTAAGATACTTTTCGGATTTTTGGCACTTGGCTTATACTGAAGTATTTCTAAAGTAATTATTAATGAGTTTAATAATGAGTGAATCCAACGTTTTTCGATACAACTTCATATAAACGATCGGGAAGCGAGCTATACAAATTTTGGAGTATTTGCAGCGAAATTTTTGTCTAGGCCGTTAAAAGTGACAGACGACGGTCTCATCATAGTTGCTGATATATTTTGAAAATTTAACGAAAATTTAAAGAACCCAAATGCAAGTTTTCCTAAAATTTTATTATTAGAAGATTGAGGAAGTCCGAGAACTGGAGAGGAGAGGGGAGGAGATAAAACTGACCGCAAATGCTTCGCTGGTCGCTTCATGCCAATGTCAATACATGCAATGGCAAAAATTGGACACCTCTAGCGGAAGCACGAAAGCAGCAGCGAATATCCGGTTCTAACATAAGTTGTTTCAGATTTCAGTTTTTAGTTTTATATAGCAACTCATAAGGTGCCATTGAAACTCACCATATTTCTAATATTTTATACAATAAAACAATATTTTATTCCACAATATTACAATATTTACACATAATATTATATGTTTTTTAGAGCAATTGGACAGGATTGAAGAAGGAATGGATCAAATAAACGCTGATATGAGAGAAGCTGAAAAAAATTTGAGTGGAATGGAAAAATGCTGCGGAATTTGTGTTCTTCCCTGCAATAAGTAAGATTTTATTTTTTGATATGTTTCTAATTTCACTTTTTTAATCGAAACAATAGGAGCCAATCATTTAAAGAAGATGATGGAACATGGAAAGGCAATGACGATGGAAAGGTTGTAAACAATCAACCTCAAAGAGTTATGGACGATAGAAATGGCATGATGGCCCAAGCGGGATATATAGGAAGGTATTTATGTAAACGAAAATAATTCTTTATTTTTCTGAAGATCTTATTCAAAGTTTACATTTAATGTTTGATTGATTTTGCCTGTGTTCGTTGCAAAACCAACTTATAATCGAATATTCCTAACACTATCAATGAAGATAAACGTATAGAAAAATATTGTTGAATATAGTTAAGCATATTAAAAATACAGCCATATATATCCATTCTTGCAATTCGATTTACATTGTGGTTTCTTAAACCGCAAGGATTTTTGATTGAAACTTTTAAACTTTGTAAATGAAATGAAAGTGATTTGATTTGATTTGTATAAATTTCAAAAGATGATTAACAAAAAATATAGAAAATACTAAAGGCGAAGATCAGTTCTGGATGAGAGTGTATATCTTTTTGTAACGGTTTCAATTTCATATTTTAAATCCGGATTTTTTCACTTCATATTAAGTGTATAAAGCAAGTATCAATTGAGATATCTGTAATTTGAAGTACTCGATGCTTATTGCTGTCTTAATGCTCTGGTAAAGGTTAACTCTAGTAACTAGTCTCACCCAAACWCTTTTCAAACTTCAGTTTAGTTTKAAGCCATATTAATCAATCAACATAATGGAAAAAGAAACCATTAAGACTTTTTTGTATTCTTTAATTTAAATTAATGTAATTTAATTCAATCATTCTGGCTTCCTCCTAGTCTCAATATGTCCCCTATAGTAGGATTMTCATTTTCTTATGCAGCCATGCGCATTTCGCACACATCTTAATAGAGCTCTTATTCTAAATGAAATTGAATAAACATATTTAACATAGTAATATCTGACCATTGCTATATGAAAATATGATATCGAACGTGACCATTAATGATTTCGTSAATAAACAAATAAAACGAATTCAATAGCAATATTTGTATGCCCTCGTTGCACGTCGCACAGAGTTAAAATTTTTTTTAAATGAACGGCTGTTTGAAATATTTGAAATAAATCACGTAAATACAGTGTTGGGTCACCGATTGCAAACCACTGCATACTTCAACCATATGTTCTTATATATTTTTACTWTTTCTACTTCTTCTTATTTGCCTAATATTCAAGGTTAAGCAATAGGAGCCATTCTCTTCAATGCAGTTAACAATTGTATTTGCATTGTGTTTGCTTGCATTTGCTCTGTACACTTTACTAACGCTATGTTTCGCTCACGCAATTACACGTATGTTTGTTTGTATACATTAGTTAATCCTATTTTGCATGTACTCAGTTTAATATGTAAGCAGCATATTACAATGCTGCATTCCCATTTTTACATTTCTCTTTAATAACTAAATTATATATGAAGAAGCAATAGCGTTAAGTAGGTACTTAGTTTTATGAACTATTAGAAGTCCATAACATATATGTATATATGAATTAATACAATGCGGAATTATGTACACCTTTAGCGGTATCGGAATACTGTACAAAATATTATTTAAGGAGGAGAATTGTGCAAATAAAGTTAGTCTAATACCTGACCACCTTACAGTCSTTACTCGTGCCTTTGCTACAATTTCGCTGATAATTTGCTGTTTCGTAAATTTGAGCGGTTATAAAAAAAGCTTTATAGCCCTACAGTTTTTGGCGCCCAACGTGGGGCACGAGTAAGTTGTTTTTGTTGTTCGCATATCTTTTCGGAGTTTGGTGGTCAGTATTAGACTGCATCGTGGGACATCATCGTCTGTAGATCTTCACCATTCGACATCTTCACCATTGGACACGTCAGCATCGCTCGCACACAGCACAGCACATGTACTTGTCGCCGCTACGTTTTGCCAGTACCACTTCGTCCAGGTGATACTCGTATTCGCATATTTGTTGCTTCGCATATATACAATATTAATCTCGTTGATACCTTTTTGCATTAAATTAACGAACCATTTATTACCTAGCTACTCACCAAAACGGTAATTATAATTATTTGAAATAATTTTGAAGCCAATATAAACCATATAGAATCCCGTTCTACAATGTCTCTGGACGAACTAAAACAACAACGCACCAGCACCAAGAAAAATATCACACGTATTAAAAATATCATCGATGCTAGCTTACGACCAGGTGGAAAGGTTCTTTCAGTGGCGGAATACAAATGTCGTTTAGGCATCCTGGAGTCATACTTCAAGCAGATTCTCTCAATTCAAACGGACATCGAAAGATTGGATGCTGAGGACGGAGGACGTGCTGACCTGGAAGAACTTTACATAACGACTAAATTGGTTATCTAATCACAACTGCGAGAAGATAACAACGTTTCATTTTCGGATACAACTCTGTCTCTTATACACATCTAGATGTGTATAAGAGAAAAGGCACTGCCAGTATCTAGAGTCACTCGACAACCCGCATGGTAATACTTCGACAGCTCAAGGTTTCAACAAACACTCCACTCCGAAATCAAGAGGTCAACCAAAGGGTTACACATTTTCCTGCTCTACTATATCGTGCCAATTCTGTTTTAACAACAACCACAAGATTTTTAATTGTGAACGGTTTAAATCGCTAAACATAACTCAACGTTTCGATCATGCAAAGAAAATTGGACTTTGCATGAATTGCTTATCAAARGGACATCAAGTAGCCAATTGTTCATCATCCCACAGGTGCAAGGTTTGTGCACGACAACACCATAGTTTACTTCAYCGCGGTTCACCTCCAGACCAACCAACAGCTACTCAACTATTTCCTACACAGGAGGCAGTCGTACATACACATATGAATAATTCATCGTTGGATAATGTAATCCTTGCAACAGTAAAAATTTTCGTTCGGGATTCAATGGGGAGCTATAGATTGGGTACAGCGCTGCTAGATTCCTGTTCGCAAGTCACTTTCATCACAGATGATTTTTCGCAAAGGTTGCTGCTGCCAAGAAATAAATATAACATAGAAATTCAAAGCATCGGCTTGTCATCAACCAATATTAAATTCAAAAGTTCTACTAACATCAAGTCGAAATTCACCGCTTTCGAGCTTCCATTAACTTTTTGTATTACATCGCGCATTGCTTATCAACCAGATCCGAAAATCAACATTTCAACATGGAATATTCCAAACAACATAGTACTCGCTGATGATGAATTTCATAGACCAAAGAAAATCGATATGTTGCTGGGTACGGAAACGTTCTTCAGTCTGCTATCTGTAGGTCAAATCCATCTTGGGTCTAATTTACCTATCTGGCAAAAAACGCTCTTAGGCTGGATCGTTTCGGGACGCTATAATACCGGCAGTAACAATATATCTCCATCTTGTTTATTTTTAGCCAATGAATCTTTAGATGCCAAATTGGAAAGGTTGTGGAAATTGGAAGAAGTTACTACCATCCCAGAGCCTTGGACTCGTGAATAACAGACTTGCGATCATTTATACAATGCAACCGCTTTAAGAAGACCTTGCGGCAGAATAGTTGTCAATATCCCTTTCAAGGATGATCCGACGTGCTTGGGCGAGTCATACACTACGGCATTGCGATGATTCAATGCACAAGAACGTCGATTAGCTAAATCACCACAATTGACAGCACAGTACGTTGAATTTATGAACGACTACGAGAGCCTGGGTCATATGAGCATTGCGAAGAATCCAAATCTGAGCGAACCGCATTATTTTATACCACATCATTTCGTTCTTAAACCAGCAAGTACAACAACAAAGCTTCGAGTCGTATTTGACGCCTCCTGTCGAACTACAATCCAATGCGAACTTTTTATTCTTCTTCTTCGTTTCCGATTCAATAGGTTTGCACTCACGGCGGACATAGTCAAGATGTATCGGCAAGTATTAATGCACGAAGATGATCGAAAGTTCCAATACATTCTGTGGAGGAGTTCACCGACTGAGRACATTCGGACATACCAACTGAATACAGTAACGTATGGAATGGCTGCTGCACCATATCTTGCTATACGGAGTTTGTTGTACCTAGCTGAACAGYATTCAGAACAATGCCCAATTGGCGCAAAGATCGTGAAGTCATCATTTTACGTAGACGACTTACTGTGTGGTGCTGACAGTCTAACCGAACTTTCACAGATAAAGCAAGAGGTAACACAACTGTTAGAATTAGGAAAGTTTAAATTAACAAAGTGGCATTCTAATCATCGTCGATTCAGAGAAGACGACTCTTTAAAGGATCTAAACGTAGATTCATCTATCACTAACGCTCTTGGACTAAAATGGAACCAAACTCTTGATTGTTTTATTTTTTCATTTGAAGCAAAA